AAATGGACAAGCTACATCTAGATATGAATTGTGTGGATGTGTTTGAGCAACTTACAGTTCCATAAATGGGATTTGCAGCTGCCACAACACTGCATCGAGCATTCAGTGATGCATGAATACCAGCTTTGGCAATTGTTACAGTCTGCTGCTCCATAACTTCATGTATAGCCACACGATCTTGATCATTCATCTTGTCAAATTCATCAATACAAACAACACCTCTATCAGCAAGAACCATAGCACCAGCTTCTAGCCTTCTTTCTCCTAGCCAAAAATAATACCACCATTGTTCATAAATAATCACCAGAAAATGCTAACATCCTACAGCCCATTGAAGTTTATTACCTGTTTCCTGATCAGAGGTAACAGCAGCTGTCAATCCGACTCCAGAAGAACCCCGACCAGTTGTTGATATAGCCAAAGGAGCAATATTCATGATCGCTCTTAGTAGCTGAGACTTTGCAACAGAAGGATCACCGACCATCATCATGTTTATGTCGCTATAAACAAGAAGAAATTGGATTATTAGGACCCAAAATTCTATCTTCTGTCAGACTTATAGAATATATGGTCCGGATAAAACAAATGACCAAAAAGGAAACAGATCTAGGTACTCGAGCTTAAATACTTCAGATGTTGGAATGTTAAATTAACTTAGTAACATATCAAGCCAATTTGAAGAGCATATTACTCACCCTCGTAAATGGGTACCATTCTTCAAGTTCTTTTCTGTTCCACCAAGCATCAATAGAATCACTGCCTTCTTTATCCATGAGTGTCCATATATAGATGGTGCAAGTGAATTAGCAAGTAGATCGAATGCATCGTCCCTCTCAGATATCTTTTTGATCTTGTTTATGTCTTCAGCAGTGTAGATTGGAGCATTTGCTTCTTTATTGAGCAGAGAGACACTGTTAGCTATGAGGACAGTCCTACATAAAAAGATTACCCAATAAAGCTTTTCAACTGGACACAGAAGTGCTGTAAAATGACACACGAAAAATAATGGCCAGGACAAAAAGAAACTTAAGTAACCTGAATACTCCATTCACACCGCCCTTGCTACTTCCAGGAAGTGCTTTGTATATCCCAACAATTGCCACACGGTCTCCAGGCTTGCAAGAATCCACAAGGTCATCCTCTACAATGACATCAACTGTTCGTGGAAGCTGCCCAGGAGCAGAATTCTCAGGCACCTCTTGCATTGATACTGTTTGATGGTCTTTGTATTGGCATAACCCATACTCAGTTACCAACAAATTGCCACTATCATCCTGGAACATATTCAGTTCGTGAAAAATATTTTCTTATGGTTAAAAATGAAAATTTATGAGATAGCAGTAAACCAGAAATTACCCGTGTTGGATAAACAGATCCTGTGGGCAAACCCATATTGGATGTGATATCTCGATATTCACGGGCTGTGAATTTCCCAGTTGAAGGGCAGAAGTGGACACTTTTAACAACCTTTGGCCTTACAAGAGAACCTGATGGAGGGGAAGCTAGAAGATCAGGTACATGCATATTTGAAATAAGAAAAGAAAATTTTTCCGTTGGATGAACAAAAGCCCAGCTTGGAGTTGAAGCCCTTGCCCATCCATTTGAAGTACGCCTATCTTGGAGAAGGTGAAACATTTTCGGTGGTCATTAGCTCTACATTAAACATGAAACAAGAAAAAGAACTCTTGAAGGTATTGAGAAAACATAAAGGAGCAATTGGGTGGACCATTGCGGATATCAAGGGGATAAGCCCTCTCATTTGCACCCACTGCATATATCTTGAGGAGGATTCCAAACCATCCCGACAACCACAAAGGCGGTTGAATCCCATCATGAAGGAGGTGGTGAGGGATGAGGTTCTGAAACTACTTGATGTGGGGATCATTTTTCCAATTACCAATAGTAAGTGGGTTAGCCCCATGCAAGTAGTTCCTAAGAAATCTGGAGTTATGGTGGTTGAGAATGATGAGAATGAGCTTATACCTACAAGCGTAATCACCGGATGGAGGGTGTGCATTGATTACCAAAAACTGAATGCTTGCACAAGAAAAGACCACTTCCCAATGTCATTCCTTGATCAAGTTCTAGAACGAGTAGCGGGGCATCTATTCTACTATTTTTTAGATGGATACTCCGGCTATAATCAGATTGAGATTGCTTTGGAGGATCAAGAGAAGACCACTTTTACGTGCCCCTATGGTACTTTTGCTTACCGTCACATGTCATTTGGACTATGCAATGCTTTGGGGACTTTTCAACACTGTATGATGGGAATTTTCAGCGACAAGGTGGAAAAGATAGTGGAGGTCTTTATGGACGACTTTTCGGTGTTTGGGGATTCATTCGAGGGATGTTTGGCAAACTTGGAGAAAGTTCTAACAAGATGTGAGGAGAAGAATCTAGTCTTGAATTGGAAAAGTGTCACTTTATGGTGATGGAAGGAATTGTGCTTGGCCATATAGTTTCGGCAAGGGGTATTGAAGTCGATAAATCCAAGGTGGAGGCCATCTCCAACCTCCCCATGCCAAGAGCCATCAAAGGCATCCGATTGTTTTTAGGCCTGCAGGTTTCTATCATCGATTCATAAAGAATTTTAGTGCATTGGCCCGACCCTTGACCAACCTACTGTCTAAGGAGGTCCCATTTGAGTGGTCGAATGATTGTGAGTCATCCTTTAAAAAACTTAAAAGTATGCTAGTCATACCTCTGATCATGCGACCACCCAATTGGGATCTATCTTTTGAGCTCATGTGCGACGCGAGTGATTACGCGGTCGGCGCAGTGCTCGGTCAGAGGGAGGAAAATAGACCATATGTGATACACTATGCTAGCAAAATACTTAATGAGACTCAGATGAATTACACTACCACCGAGAAAGAATTGCTAGCAGTAGTGTTTGCTTTAGATAAATTCCGTGCTTACATCATTGGTTCGCCTATTGTTGTCTTTATTGATCACTCTGCTTTAAAGTATTTGTTGTCTAAGCAGGATGCAAAAACCGAGACTCATTAGGTGGATACTCCTCCTACAAGAATTCAACTTGACGATCAAGGAAAAGAAAGGAGTTGAGAACGTAGTGGCAGATCATTTATCCTGGCTTGTGGTGCAAGAGGCCGATGAGCACATACC